TTCATGTATTCAACAGCCATCCAAAAAGAATTTTTATTTAAATACTTCAGACTATCTATTTGAATATCAATACAAAAATTTGAAAATTAAATAGTTGTGATTAAAAATAATTTCTTGGATCACACCCCATTTCAATTAATATAAAGTACTATCAAATGAAAAAAATATGCATACAAGCTAGTAAATAACAAATATCACCATTTAATCAAAATGCACATTATTACTAAAGAATAACAATGAAGACAACAATGTGGCATACCTATTGAAGGAGATACCTGTTGAAGGAGAAACACAGAGAGAGATGGAGGAAAAACTGCTACGAAAAGAATTGTGTAATTTATTGGTGTATATATAGGCATGCGAGATGATGTATTTTTTCTTTATAGGAGTTTATTGTTTGCACAAGAGCTATCCAACAAATAGAGTTAACATGGAAGTTGATAACATGGGAATTACATGTTGTACAAAAATATTTTTATTGATTAGGATATCTATTCTGATCCAACTTCGTGGAAATTCTATTCACGTGGAAATTCTATTAATATATGTTGTATATCTAGACCGTTGAACGTGGACGATGTAGCTTATGATCCAACTTTGTGGAAATCTGTTCACATGGGCAAGGGTGGATTTACCTTGGATGAAGTGGTGTCACGCGACACCACTTTATTTGAGCGAAGCTATTATTCTTATGAAGAGTATGTGGATGTCTAGTTATTACTTGTTATGACAACTAATATTACCTGTTCAAGTCCTAACATAATCAAGAAGAAAAGATTTTTTTTGCTTAATAAAATTTGCATGCTTCTAAGTGTTAATGAAACAAAATATTTTGCATGCTACAGGACATGTATTAGAAAAAAACACTCAGCTATATTATATGTATTACCCTATGAAGATAGAGGGAAGTCTAAAGTAGGTGGGACTTAAATACATTCATCATGTGATTGTAGGCGTCGAAAAATGCCTATAGGTATCCACACACAGCTCGAGATGGAGAGAAGATGACGAACGTCGTTATCCGAATTATCTGACGCCGACCAATGCATGAAACAAAACGGCCAACGCTAGATGGCCCGCGTGCTCACCGGCCACCACCAAGTGGCCAACACGTTCACCATTCACCTCCAACTTAACGAAATTTATGATGCGAGTTGGTGAAGCACACGAGTCAACATAACACACGAAATGGCAAAAGACAACGCAGCTGGGAGTTGTGTTTCACCCAAAAGGGGCGGCTATTGGAAGTTGTAGGTCTTTTCGTCAGCTTTCCAACGCATCTTGAATCACCTCATTCCGAGATTAGACGAGAGAGTTAGAGCCAAAACACCCGAGACCAAATGGTGACTCGCACCCATGCGAGTCACCAAATGGTGGCTCGCACAAAAAGTGATATTTCGGCCATGTTGTGATTTGATTCTGAAGAAACTCAAAACACAAAAGTTGTAGGTCTTTTCGTCAGCTTTCCAACGCATCTTAAATCACCTCATTCCGAGATCGGACGAGAGAGTTAGAGCCAAAACATCCGAGGTAGTATGAACTAGCTCGCATGGCTGCGAGCCACCTGGCCGAGCCACCCAGATCTGGGCCCAGATCTGAGCCCAGATCTGGTTTGAGATGCCTATAAATAAGGAGGGCTCATTTTTGGAAGGGTTGGACTTTTGGTGGAACTTCTGAGGGGAAACTCTGCTGGATTAAAGACTCAAGACTAAAAAAGGTTGGAGCTTTGGAGCTTTGAAGACTCGGACTTTTCAGATCTGGTTCTTGGCGATCATCCATGCCAAATAAGGCAGGAGTTCGAGAGAGATCAGATCTGAGATCTACACGGTCATCCTCCGGATCAAAACTTGGTTTTTGATCCCGAGAAGAGTATCGATTTCGCTTGGTCGATTTCGATTACTTAGGGTTATTATTTCCTTGGTGAAATAATCCCCTCGGCTGTTATTTCCTTCGTGAAATAACACCCGTCATACCGTGTAGATCCGACTGGATCAAGATCGTGCGGTGGTCCACGGATTAACCCTGACGCACGCAAAGAACCCACACAAGCAAGAGACCGCAAAACAGGATCTTGCGATTTGTTCGAGAAAAGGAAAGTTGTAATCTTTTTTCTTTCTTTGATTTTGTTGTAACCGGATCTTATAAAAAGACCGAATCTTTTGTAACCGATAAACTGTTGCACAAGAAAACAATGACGTCAATGAAAACGATTTTCCCCGCGAACAGTGATAAGATAAGAAAAAGTTTGTTCTAATAAGTTGGATTCAAGTCTTTTCTAATATATACCCTATCATTTGAAGTTACTAAAGTGCAATTCTGCATTTATTAGTATTACTAATGATGCGATTATGAACCTTTTACTAAAATATGAAAATTCATCAAGACAATTATAAACTTTTTTAATTATTGGCTAAAAGGGCAATTTAGTCCCTGCACTAGGGCTTCATACTCAAATTGGCCCTTGTACTTTGCTTTTTCTCAACTTGATCCCTGTATTGGGGCTTCATACTCAAATTGGTCCTCTTGCTTTATTTTTTAACTTCGTTCATGTACCAGGGATTCATAATTAAATTGGTCCCCCTAGTTTATTTTAAATTTTAACGTTTTGAAGTAAACTACCAGTAACTTTCAACATCACACTAAATCTCCTAAGAAATTTCAAAAATCATACTTAACCTCCAATAACTTTCAAAAGCACACTAAACCCCCTATAACTTCTAGTTTTTTAAATCATACTAAACCCCCAATAACTTTTGCAGACCCCCAAAGTTAGCATCATTACATCTAATGTGGCACATGCATCCCACGTGACTTAAAAAGATCAAAATACCCCTTAAATTATTTTAGAAAACTCTTGATGACCTTTTTATATTTTCAAGCCTAAAAATAGAAACCTCTCTTTTTTTGATTTGTTTTCCTCTTGCTCGTTCAGGTTAGGGTCCTGAACCCTTTTTTTTTTTTGCTGGAATTGTCCTTGAAATGTCTTTTTATGTTGTTTTTTGTTCTAATTTATGGGGGTTATCTACTTTTGCTGGAATTGTCCTTGAAATGTCTTTTTATGTTGTTTTTTGTTCTAATTTATGGGGGTTATCTACATAAAGTGAAAACTTATTGGGGATTTTTGCAAGTCCAAGATTTATTTGGGATTTGGTGAGATTTGGAAGTTATTGGGGGTTTAGTGTGATTTTGAAAGTTATTGGGTGTTGTAGTGTGATTTTTGAAATTTCTTGGAGGGTTTAGTGTGATGTTGAAAGTTATTAAGAGTTTTTTGCATAACACTAAAAGTTAGAAAAAAGTAAGGGCACCGATTTGAGTGTGAAGCCCAAGTACAGGTATTAAGTTGAGAAAAAAATAAAGGAGGACCAATCTGAGTGTGAAACCCCAGTATGGGGACCAAGTTGAGAAAAATGAAATATGAGGACCAATTTGAGTATGAAACCCCATTATAGGGACCAAATTAGCCTTTTATCCCCAATTATTAAACTATATGGTGACACCACTTTTTAGAAATCCTGGATTCGCCATTGCATATGTGTATTATAGTTAGGATAGGATAATGGAAGCATATACCTATTAAAGTTTGAAATCTGTTCACATGGGATAATAGGAGCTAAAGCTTATACACGTATATTAATTAGGATAGGAAAATAGAATATTATACCTGTTAATTAGGATATGATATGATAATAATGTAATATCCAATAGGGTGAAGGGAATTTTTGTCCGTGGAAAGATATTCCCAAACTCACACTTCTAAAGGTAGTACGGTGTGCTGACTTATGTAATATATATTTCAATTTATCACACTCGTTATAATTGGGCGCATATTCTGCACTTTACATCCACTTTTTGATACTCTTTGAGCATGGCTCAAGGTTATTTCAATCCGTACACAGTTTAAAACTATGAATTTAAATGGTTGTTGGGTATCTAGTTCAAAAATGGGTTATTTGGGTATTTAGTTAAAAAATGAGAGGTTTTCAATTTATAATCTATATAATAAAAGAAACATAAACATGTTTTATCTTGTGACACACGAATGAAAGAATCAATATTGATATTTTGTAAATTTTTATTTCAGAGTATATGTGTGTGTGTATGTGTGTGTGTGTTTATATATATATAGATGCGCGCGCGCGATACACACACTGTGCGCGCGCATACGCACATGCACACACGCACACGCACGCACGCATGCACACGCACGCGCGTGCGCTCACACACGCGCGCACGTATGCACACACATGCACGTCTGCACGTGCGCACGCACACGTACACGCGCGCGCACGTACACATACGCACAACACACAGATAGAGTGGTGATGCCCACACATTTTAATGTGACTCGTAAGGTGGGCCTCACCAAATGGCTATCTCTTAGTAGCTCATTTTGTAAAATGAACCGCCACCTCATACCCATTATTTCCATATATATAATATCTTGTATGACTGTATTATACCATTTACAAACTTCAAATATGTGATAAACGTGTGACTGAAGATTTATAGGGATACAATTTATCTTAGCATGTACAGCTCTCTGTTTGTATTATATATACCCATCATATGTACGTGAATGTTATCATGATAACTTTTGAATCTTTTCTTCATATTTCTTCTTCTTGGAGTTAAACAGTTTCCCTTTCTTATGCATGTAATCATCAAGCATGCAAAAATGTAACCAATTCTGACTTGTGGTCTCCTTTAGATGCTTTAATTAGGGACTCTCATAACAAATTAGTTAATAGTCTTCTATAATCTTTTTTTGTATATCTCTCGAGTTTTATGATACTGTGATATACATGAGTTGATCTTTAATTTCTATAATCTTTTTTTGTATATCTCTCGAGTTTTATGATACTGTGATATACATGAGTTGATCTTTAATGGGTTCTGTTTCCACATATCTTAATATTGGATTATTAGGAATTTCTATTATATGTAACCTTGCATTAAGTAAAGAGAATTACTTACCAAATGATGAATAATTGTTTCTCCAGGTACTTCTTGGGGACATGGGAACTGGAAAGACTAGTATAGTACTGAGGTTTGTCAAAGGCCAGTATTTTGATTGTCAGGTCTGTTCTTAGTTCTCCCATTTATCTCATAAATTCTCATATAGAAATGAACTACTACGGAAAACCTCAATATAGCTCAAATTTCCAGGAATCTACAATTGGTGCAGCCTTTTTCTCTCAAATACTATCAGTAAGTGATGCAACTATAAAGTTTGATAGATAGGATACAGCTGGACAAGAGCAATATCATAGCCTGGCTCCCATATATTATCGTGGGGCAGCTGCAACTATTGTTGTGTATGACATCTCGAGCAGAGTAAGTTCATTTAAAGAAATTGTTATATCTCAACCTATTGTTTACATTATTTATTGGTTAATTTTACTTCAGAGGTTTCGAAAAGAACAAACATGAGCCCTTATTAAGAAGAAGTCTAATAGCAAGCATTTCCTTGGAACATATTAGTTAAACTGATTTTTCCCTGTTACAGAGGATGATAAGTAGCTTTGCTTATCTTAAGATTAAGATTTCATGCTGTTGTTAATATTACATAAATCTTTCTTTAAAATTTCTAGTGAGTCAAATGGTTATTGAATCACAGTACATACCAATATTCTATATAGTTTAAGACGGTGTCTCCTGATTTGAAATCTGAAGGTTTACAAAATTAAACATGTTATGTTCTTTATTTCAAGAAACTTTATGTGATTAGTGCATATTATGACTAGAATTAAATGGATTGGAGAGATTAGGTTAGCATTCAAATCCATCATTTTGGGAGGTCGGGTTAAGGAAGCCATGTCTTTGAATGTAGAAGACCTTACTCAATCTGAAGAGATAGGGTAACGTAAATGAGAAAGGTGAGTTGGGAGCTGAAGATATAGAGTGATTACAGTTGGAAAATAGAAACCTTAGTATCATGGTTCATGCCATTAGAGTCAGTTGAGAGGCAAGTTCATGTCTGAACCTAATTCTAAAATTAACATGGCATGCATGGGGAGTCCAGGTTTGGATGTTTGAGATGGGCTTGTAAAAAAATATTAGTGTCTTTGTTATTTAATTCACTGCTAGGGAAAGGAATGTGGTTGATATACATAAGGAGTTGTTCAAGTATGGTGTATGGAATTGTGTTGGAATAAATGGGAATAGGTTTTAGGGATGGATTTTGGCAAGTGCCCCCCACATATCACTCTGCAAGCTTCAACAAGTCAAAAAAATTTTCCTTCTATCCTATAGTATCTTGGCTGCATTCCTCATAGTAAGAAGATAATATACGTATAAAAATGGTTATCTATAAATCTGACTTTTAAAAGTTCTCCCTTCAAGTAGAGCATAATTCTTTGGAAAAAATATATTGACGATTATATAATATGAATAAGAAGCACAAGTTATATGAGATACAACACAACATATATTCAATAGGCCTATACATTCTCCTGGTAATTTGGTTGATCAGATATTATGTATTTATTATAATAGACATAATCAGCAGATGCTATCTTATCTGTTTGGCACGGGAGCATATACTCTTCTTGTGCCTTCTTTTGGGTACAGACTGCTTTTGTTAATATGAATTTTTTATATTCCTTTCTCAACACTTCAAATGAAAGTCTAGTTATGCTAGGGATTGAAATGTGTTGGTTGGGGTCAGAACTTTGACCTCACTCACCATTTAGGTGACCCAAACATGACCTCTCTATTGACAGGTTAACCAGATTAAATTGAGTTTAAATAGGAAAAGGAAAGAGCTCAAACATGACCAGTATTGAACTAGCATTTTAATAATATATGTCAAAAGTAAGACTTGAACTAGCACGAAAGGCACAAATATCATCTGCCCTTGTGGGACAGAATAGTATAGTGCATGGGCATTGCTCATGTACCCACTTTCATGGTTATATGTAGATAATAAGCGTGCATTGGAATACTAATTATCTGTATGTATATAAATGTATGGTACCCACATAATACTGTTAGATATATCTTAGTTTCTCGGTTTCTCTAAACATTAATATAATTTACATAGTATTATTTAAATAATCCATGTAAACTATTAGTATTATTTAAATAATCCATGTAAACTATACTTTTTTAGTTTCTCAGTTTTTCTCTGAACTAATAAATTTTACATACCACTTTTAGAGTTTTCATAGGTCCTCAGGCTCCCTCTAAACTAAAAAATTATACATTATACTCAGACGTCCACTCACAAGGTTTAAAATGTATTGCTATGCAAGTGGTTTCATCATCATCCACACATGTAATGAATTTTGTGGTATCCCTCGATCCTCTCTCTGAACATACACTTATTATTATTATTATTATTCTTTTGTTATCTTCTTTTTTTAGAAGTAATCTGTTATTTTCTTTGTTTCACATACATTTGTATTATTATCCTTAAGTAGTAATTCATCATATAATATATCGAAACATTAAAAGACATAAGTCAAATTTCAAATTCTAATTATTTTAATGTTTACCGTGAAAATTTTCTAAAACAAATCATATTAAAAGATGATTTAGATCAAGACAGATAAGAAACTTAAACTAAATATAAAAAAGAAATAAATATAGCTATAAAAAGTTAATAACTTACCATGCAAGAATATTGGTTATATGGAAAATATTTGGACCCCCTATTGGAAGCGAACCGGTGCTAGAGTTTGTCACTCTACATAACAAAAATCATTGATAATATTATCCAGAAAGAGCATAATTAAATAATAAAAATATACTAAATTTTAAAAAAAGTAAAATATCATATATAGTCTGGTGGAATGACAGAAGAATTCTTGTAAAGTTTGAAAAGGAAAACTTTATTTCCTTTTCTTTTAACTTCATAGTCAAATAGTTGTTATTTTTTCAATAAAATCTTATAAATGCTTATATGAGAATACATATGATTATCCTAATAATAGCTGCTTTTATATTCATGTATGTTAACTTCATAGAAATTAAAATAAAATGGTCAAATGCAAGTTGTTACTTATGAAAACTTTAGGGGATTTCCCATGATTCCTTCGAAACTATAGATTTTAATTAATGTATCCTACATAATAATTAGAACATTTTCAAAAATCCATCAAAATCATTGGTAAGATGCACGTTTTATGCAAAGAGTTGAGGTATGAAAAGTTTAATGTTAAAATGCATATCATATCTTTCAAATGCATATTATATCTTTCTTCGCAAAAGTGAGTTCAAAAGAAAACAACAAAAAGATCATGTAAAAATTATACATACTTTGGAGCGACATATGTTTTTGATTCTCCATTCTGAAGTGTCCTTTGACTCTATGATATTCTCAACATGCAAATCTTTTTTCTTCTGTTGTTTTACAATTTATTACAAGCTAATTTATATGCAATTTTCCTAATCCACATCGTCAGCTCTTTATTAGTTTCGGGTTAGCCCTTAGGCCCCATTTGGCAAAAGGTTAAGAAAGATGTATTAAAGAGAAGGATTAATGTAGTTTTCCCATTTGATAACCTGAAGGACACATTATTAATCTGTTCAATAAGTTTTATTTTAGGCCTTGTTATCAGTTTTAGTGTTTGGGAATAACGAGGATTTTAACCATTTTCTTTATAAATAAACAAGTTAACTTTTAATCCTTCTAAATAGGAGTATTAGTAAACCCTTCATTTTGAGGGGTTAACTCATTTTAATCCCTTTAGAAGGGTTAGCTTAACATTTATGTATTTTTTATATTTTGCAAATTATTTAACTCATTTTAATCCCTTTAGAAGGGTTAGCTTAACATTTATGTATTTTTTATATTTTGCAAATTATAGAGGGTTAACTCACTTTAACCCTTCTACAGATTTTTTGTGTTTGGCAGGTTAGGAATGGGTTTAGTCTCCTTAACCCTTCACGTAACTCATTGCTGAACAACACCTTAAGGTAAACATGCTAACCATAATTTCAATATTAGTTATAATTTTAAAATTAAAAATACCAACGAAGATACTTATAATTCTGGCAATTTGTTTTTAATTCGTATCTACAATCAATGTCCATTGAATTGAAGTAATAGAAATCCAGAACTACACATTCCATTGACCTTCACTTAACTTATTATCTGATCCTCACCAAATTAACCAGGCATGAAAAGTAAAATGAATCCTTTGCCTAATACCCCTGAAGCAACCATCTCTTATTACAACAACGAACACACATACACATGACATTAAACCTTCAATTACTAATATACATCCACTAATGAAAATATAATAAGAAATATGAATGGAAGGAACCCATCACCAACTCCACCGAGCTCATCGGTCGAACCATCCACCGACCCTACCAAGCTCATCCGCCAAACCCTCCACCGCACAACCTTTGGCCCCTCTGCTTCCACCAAACCCTTCACCGCTACCACCTCAAAATCCACATGGCCTACTGCATGCTGGCTCCACCACCCGCTCCGAACCTACCACAGTCACCTTTACCAGATTCGCCTACGCCACCGTTGTCGAGCGCACTTTTGTAGCGGAACCAGGTCTTTTGATTGCTAAACCTCAGTTCCCTCGAAGTTTCTTGGATTGGCAAATCAAAGGGGAGTAGCAGAGGAGAGATAGAAGGGAGTTGAGAGGTGTTATATAGGTGGTGAATTCTGTTGGGATAGTGAATATCCTTGGACATTAGTTTGATCAATAGTGATAGTGAATTTTGTTGTGTGAATGGAAGAAGATGGGAAGGGGAGTTATATAGGAGGTGGAGTGAAAACGGATGAGACTTGAGGGGGGTCTTGTGATCCATTAGTTGGAGGCACAATTTCTTTATCACAGTTAATTACTCCCTTATTGAAGAGGAATTGTGATGTTTCAGTGATCATCAATTTACTATGTATTAATATAAATTAATAAATTTATTAATATGCTTGCATGCTAATCAACATTCATAACTTGCTAGAAAAATAAAAATAAATTAATAAATTAAATATTTATTTAAAGGACTCATGACATAAAATTGAATATTTATAATAATTTATATATTGCATTTACTGTAGTATTTATCATATTGAGTATGTATGTATGTATATTTATGTATGTATATGTATGTGTTTTATAATGGTGAAACACAAAATTACATGGATGCACAAAACAATGTAAGTGTCACTTCTATAAATTTGAGGCATTTTCAGAAGAATGCCTAAACATGCAACATGCTTTTATAGGAGTATTAGATAACTAGTAGCAAGAATAGCATAATGAATGATGGCAACATCCATCTTCCATCCGAAAAGTTTGGGTAAGGGATTCTCTGTCACTAGAATGCAGTGGATCGTACTCATCCAGAAAGTCCCCCAGATCACCAAGGGGACCGAACTCTAATGATAAAATAAAGGGTATTTTTTATGATCTCAGCTGAGTTCAGCATCCAAATGTCTCCTTTGATTTTGTTTACACGAGGTGAAGTCTTCACATGGAGTTAGACATTTATGCAGAAATGTGCTCACGCATTGTTGCTCTACCCCTAGCTCTTTATTAGAATTTACGCCTAGTTGGTCTGATGGAGGGTGAATGTTAGCAACACATAAACCTTCCTTAGATTACTTCACATCGCCCTCTTCATCATTATGTGGTGTTAATTTAGGACAGCATAAACTAGCTCGGTGTAGCGCAAAGTTAGATCTTGAGATAGAGATTTTTCAACTCTTCACCTCATTTTGGCGATGTGCACCCTCCATTAGAAACCTCTCATATAACACTTGGTCAACTTTGTTGAATAGGCTTTCAATGATAGTCCCGGGGGCAACCTTATCATATTGTAACACAATGTTCTCTTTTGAGGATAACCTTGGTTCCACTAGGCGTGCCATCTATTTTTCACACAAATTGGCTGATAGGGACATCAGTGCGACTTGTGCTTCAAATGAGCAGAGAAGGGATCTGGTCTGCTTACTATTTATTTTTAGGGACATCAGTGCGACTTGTGCTTCAAATGAGCAGAGAAGGGATCTGGTCTGCTTACTATTTATTTTTATTTAGTGGGTTTTTGACCCTGTGTGCTGATAGAGATAGATCGGGATCTCCGTGGACTATATGATGAGGTGGAAAGTATTAACATTGCCCTTTGTGAAGTCCGCGCCTTGAAGGAAGAGTAGTTCGATCTCAAGTGATGAAGAGTAAAGGTTGTTACTTATTCCCACTTGGGTCCATTTGCAAACTCTCTTATAGGAAGAAGATAGCTTCAACTAAGGGAGTAGTTTCTCTCAGGTGTATGGTAGAACCCTGTAAGAAGATAGAATTCTTCAGGGAGTAGTAGTAGCTCTTGGGTGAATAGGAATCCTAGTGAGTAAGTCTCGACGAAAAGGTGGTAGGCCAATGAGAAAAATCTCCAATGAAGAGGGGGTATGTAACTCAAACGACCAAAGAGAACCCAAGGAGTTTTCTAGAGGAGTAAATATGTTGGAGCAAATGAGAGTTCAGACCTTAGGCCAGAAGTCTTGGATAAGAAATAGGAGATATGACAAAAATGTTGGAGCCTTGGAGCCCTTTGAATGTGGGCCAATGATCTTTATTTATAGAGAAACCCTTCTTTGCTTAGTGTTAGGTGGTTTACACATCTCTTGATTTATGTGAGCTACTGTGGCAACTTTTCAGTCTATTGCCGCTGAATGGATAGCATCGCGGCACTCTTTTCAATAACTCTTGTAGATTTTATCGTTTATGCGGGGTTAGTAATGCTGCATAAATGCTCATTGGTTGTTTTTTTGTAGCTCTGCATAAACTTTGTGCATGGATCTTATCTTGTAGTGCTTTAACGCCTCTCATATGCTGCAGATTTGACTTCTAGTTCAATTGTAAGTTCAGTAGAAAGTTTACGTGCCCTTAACTTTATGCGGCCTTTGCACCATAAAAATCCTATCTCTGTCGTGACCTTAGCACCAGGTATATGCTATAGATTGGTCTGCCAGTTCAGCTGTAACTTCAGGGCAAAGTTTACGCGCCTTTAACTTTATGCGGTCTTAGCACCGTGTAAACACGTTTTTCTATTTTTTTGGCGAGTTTGTATGTGGTTCTTGCTCCGTTTAAATTCGAGTTTTATGACATTGCATTCTTAGCCTCTTTTTGGGTCCATTTCATCATGTTGAGCACTTTTGATCACTTTGGAATGATGGTTAGACCCCGTGGGCCTCCTTGCAGCGTCATAGTGTGTTGACCGATGGTTCGACATTTTTGCATGTCTGCACCTTCATCTTGAATTTTCAAACCTTAAACTATAAAAATTACAAAATAGTACACTAAAAAAATCCAATAAAATTAAAACAAAGATACTTTAGAACATAAAAGGGATATCTTGTTATGACTCAACATCTCAAAAGTATTTTACTTCTGCAGATGTCATTTTCTTTGAATCTGTTCCATATTTTTGATCCATATGTAGAGGATCGCCACTTTCCTCTATTTCTCCTCCACAGCTGATACTGCCACCTGCCCTTACTCAGTTAGTGCTGAGTTCTGAAGTTGATGAAAAGCTTGCATCAAAGCCAGCTCTAGTATATACTAGAAGACCAAAAGTACATACCTAGCTTACCTCCAACCGATCCTCCGTCTGTGGTTAAAGGTCTTACTCATCAGCAATCCTCTTTTCCTTCTGATTTTAATGTTCATGTCGCTCTTTGAAAAGGTAAATGATCTATCACTACACATCTTATATTTTGTTTTATTTCCTATGATCATCTTACCCCGTCATTTTGCCAATTTACTTTGTCCTTGTCTTCTATATCTATGCCCAGGTCTTATCAGGAAGCCATGTTAGTTCCTACTTAGAAGGAGGATATGGGTGAGGAGATGAAAGCACTTGCTTCTCAGCATACTTGGGATGTAGTTCATGCTCCTCAGGGAGCAAATATTGTGGGTTGTCACGGGGCCTTCACTGTGAAGTACCGTCCTAATGGTTCTGTGGATAGATACAAAGGTAGGCCAATTGCTAAAGACTCTACTTAGACATATACAGTTTGATTGCACTGAGACTTTCTCTCCTGTTGCTCGTCTTAACTTCATTCGTATATTGTTCTCCATTGCTGTTAATCTGGGGTGACCCATATTTCAGCTTGATGTGAAGAATGGATTATTGTATAATGACTTTTAAGAATAAGTTTATATGGTGCAACCTCTTGGGTATGTTACTCAAGGGGAGACTCATATTTTCACACTTGAGAAAGCAATGTATGGAAGAACAGAGTCCATGTGCTTGGTTTGATAGGATTAGGCAAGTAGTATCTAGTATTGATTTCTAGTGGTGTTATTTAGACCATTCTGTGTTTATTCACCACACTAGTTTGGGGATAGTGATCTTGGTTGTGTATGTTGATGATATTTTGCTGACAAGAAGTGATACAAAAGGTTTGGTAGAAACCAAAGATCTCTCAAGCATCATTCTTTAACCAAAGATAGGGGAAGCCAAAATACTTTCTTGGAATTGAAATTGCCTATCAAAAACATGAGTTACTTCTCTCCTAAAAAAGTATGCCTTAGATCTTCTAGAGGAGTCTAGTCTTCTGGGTTGCAAACATTCGTTTCGTACCTTCGGTCAAGTTCTAGTTTCCTACCACTTTGTACTAGTCAGAAGGTGTCATACCGAATTTCTGTCACATACCTTTTACTTGATATTATCATTTTCCATATCCAATATATATCCATTTCCATCAAATATGTATCTTAAGAACACCATTTTTTCAATAGAATGATATCAAACGTCTTGTTCAAATTACATATCATGGGGACAAGAGAAAGTTAGCCAAGGTTGGCCATCATAAAGTGCGCAGTTGGCAAGTATAAAAACCTGTAATTTATAGATATTTTTTTAGTTTAATTGTTAGATTCTATTTTCGAAATAGTTAACAGTTGACGGTCAGCTCTTTAATTGCATTGTTCTTAAATTTAGGGGTTTCTGCTGATGTGGCTTTTTTCTTTTCTTTTATTTTTTTGGTGGGTGAAGGTTATCCCTTCTGCAGGTTTTATATGGTCCAGATTGTGTATAGTTAAAATGTCGATTCTTATTCCTAATTGGAGCAGGTACAAAAAATGATGATTTGTCGCGTTTTTCATTTTGCTCCAAATATTACATATAATTTCTTGTGCCTAAGGTTAGAGAACTATATGGATGTCATTTGAACAGGACTTATTTTGCAGATCTAAACATGTCAAAAATATTAGAATTAGAACAATATTACATCACCTTTGAAATGTTTGTTGCTGATGTGAAGAGAATGCATGCCAATGCTTCCACCTATAATGCTCCAGAAACAATCTATTATAAATATGCTACGATGTATATTTCCTCGGAATGCTCCACATTTTTAATTTAACATTATTACTTTGACTAATACTGTGATTTCTTATTGCGCAGGCTTAGAACATTTTTCTTGATCAGGGTCTAGTCCCACCTTCTCCAAACAACTAGCAAGAATCCAAAGAATTGACTAATATATAGAAAATTTCTGGAAAAAAAAAAAGCAAGGATAGAACCATCAAATTATTTTTCTGGAGTAGTAACTATGTCAAAGCTTGAAATCCTGATTCATAAATTATGGGCGTTGACGAAACCTGTTGATATCTGATGATATGTGGTTTATAGAGATGAGGATACACGATTGTTAATTACTGAAAGCATAGAGCTCCTGTAATGGTGATAATTCTAGAAATCCACAATTGTTAGCTAGTGGAATACACACCGTCGCTAATCGTGTTTCGTACGTGGGCTTTATTTTGTTGATATGTGAATATACAAGGTTGCATTAGGATTCAAGGAATTCATTTGTAATTCTAGAATTCAATTTTTGAATTTGAAATTTGTAATTTCAGTTTCAATTCCATTGTTTGGGAATCACCAGAAATTTCAATTCTAGAATTTTCAATTTCAAATTCAATGTTTGGGAAATATTAAATTTTCAATTCTTGAATTTTCAATTTGGAAATATTATTAGGAAGTAATTAATACATGTTGTTTCCATTTTATTCTTGTTTGGATTGTCATTGGAAATATTATTAGGAAGTAATTAATACATGTTGTTTCCATTTTATTCTTGTTTGGATTGTCATTGAAATAGAAATAGAAATGAAAGTATTATAACACACGTTGTTTCCATTTTATTCTTGTTTGGATTGTCATTGAAATAGAAATAGAAATGAAAGTATTATAACACACCACATGCCTCGAGCATTGCTGTGCTTAAAAGTTAAAACGCTCACATCACGAGTTGAAGAAAAACAAAACGATGGATGAATGGATAAAGCACAGACACATACACAAACTAAACAAATGGAAAAGGAAACAACGTGCATTCTTTCTGGTTTTTCAGGTCATTTATATAGACCTAATATTTGTGACTAATTTAAAACCAGGTCATTTATATAGACCTAATATTTGTGACTAATTTTCCAAACTGCAGTTGTTAGCGTGATAGTTGTTTAGACGCCACATTCCAAACTGCAGTTGTTAGTGTGATAGTTGTTAGCATGATTACTTCCTAATTATAGTTCCTGAGAATCGTTTTTTTCCTTGTGGACCCCACCCTATATCAACTTCCGCCGCATTTCAGTACATTCGAAGACGGAAAAATATCAAAGAAATGGAGACGCCACGTAGACGCCACATCATAATTTAAGAAAGTAATGGAAGTAGATTTTCAAGAGAAACAAACATACATTTTTTCTAGAAGTAGCAAAAGTAGCCTCTACTTCTGCTATTTCACCAGTTACTTCCGTGTAAACAAACAGGCCCTAAGACACTTTGGGTTTACATATAAGAAGACGAATCTTAAGAAGAGAAGGCTGAGGTGGTTCGAACCCCCACAACATCAGGGCAAAATATAAAGTCATTACCAACCCCGCCAACAAATTTTCTTGGACTCATTTAGAGCTCTTTCACATAGGACATAATTTGGATGAACTGTATAATTTGGATGAACTGTAGCTATCCATCCCACTAAGACACACACACATAAAGAAGGTCATAATCTAATGTTGCCCCTTGTTTGGCTTTAACCTTTTACCTTGTCGGCGTTGATACGAAACCCTAAGGTTAACGTCGGTCAACGCGTAGCCCTAGGTCAACGCCGATCAACGCGTTGCGATGAAAGTCAACGTTAATCGATAAGAAACCCCAACGTCAATGTCGGTCAACGCGTAGCCCTAGGTCAATGTCGGTCAATGTGTTACCCTAGGTCAACGCCGGTCAACGCGTTGCGATACAGATAATTAGTTCAAAGTCAACTCAATGACACGAGTCAAAATCAACTCACTAATTTCGATTCGAGACTTCGACAACGGTCAGACGATAAACGCAGCACCGGAAGAATTTTAACTATTCGACAAAATACTAAATAGACTAAAATGTAGAGAAATCAAGAACTGAAGCCAGTTACAGATCCTTTGACACCGATTGAAGGTGGGGGTCTATCACATCCAAAGCATTCCAGACTCCTCTATAAAAGAATGAGGCTGAAATACTTTGGAGAGGGTATCTGTAGGCATCTAAAATTGCCCATAGGTTCCCGCACATTGCTCGAGAATAAGAGAAGACGATGAACGTCATCATCCGAATCAAGAAGGATTATCCGAGTGCCCGACGCACGCGTCGGTCAGCTCCAAGTGACTGCCGCGCTTATCAGTCAGCGCTAAGTGACCGGATGCGCATGTCAGTCGGTTCGCACGCGTCAGTCAACGCCAAGTGATCGGACGTGCACGTCAGTCAACTTGTGCACATCAATCAACACGCTGGTCAGGCAGCCCCAAGTGACCGACGCGTTCGTCGGTCGGTCCCAGCGAAACGTACAAGCCAACGAGTCAACCAAATACGTAAAAAGGTGGAATACAGGTCCGAGAAAGTCGGGAAACACCAAAATACGAAAAGACAAAAATAGTCTTAACTCGCGTTGGGGTGCGGGTCACCACCTGGTGACCCGCGCGCGCGCGGGTCACTAATAGGTAACCCTCGGTCGCGCGGGTCACCAAGAGGTGACCCACGTGGGCGACCGTCGTGCAGCTTCGACCCCAAAGCGCGTTTTCGACAGTTTTTAAGCGGTTTCCGCAGGATTTATCTATTCTAGGGGTTTCCAACTGACTTAATATCATCCACAAACATGGTTAGGCCATTATTGACTGAAGATAAGGCCAAATCTCTCATTCTCATCCGAATACCCGCATCCGAAGCCCTATAAATATAAGCCTAAGACCTCCATTTTACTGATCTGAAATTTTATCGAGAGGACGAAGTGCTGCTGGATTGAGGAGTCAAAGGAGCATGAATTTTCAGCGAAGACAAGTCAGATCCCGGCGAACTTCAGCAAAAAAAGGAAGGATTTCAAAGGATCTGAACCTGTTTCCCCCGTCCGTTCCTTGAGATTTGGCCTTGTCTTAATCTCGATAAGAGCTACTGATTTCGCTTGGTCGATCTCAGTGCTTCAAGCAAATACTTCCTTTGTGAAGTAGGAGCTCTGATCAATTCTTCTGCTAACCAGATCTGATCTTTAGGCGGTCCACGGATAAACCCCGGCACCGGCAACGATCCCGCACGAGCAATAGGAGTTAGAACTACTATTGTGTGTAGTTTGAAAGAAAGTTGTAATTGTTGATTGAAAGTCTTATTAGAACTACTATTGTGTGTAGTTTGAAAGAAAGTTGTAATTGTTGATTGAAAGTCTTATAAAAAGGCTAATTTCTTGAATTTATTGTAACGTTTGAAAGAAAGTTGTAATTGTTGATTGAAAGTCTTATAAAAAGGCTAATTTCTTGAATTTATTGTAACGTTTAAAGTTGTAATGGATTCTTCAATGAGATCGACTTTCCACCCAAACAGGCTCCAAATTAGAATTCAAAGAAAAAAATAAGCAAACCAAAAAAAATTATTAGAATTCAAAGGTCCCAAATTAGAATTCAAAGAAAAAAATAAGCAAACAAAAAAAATTATTAGAATTCAAAGGCCCCAAATTAGAATTCAAACAAAAAAATTTATTAGAATTCAAAGGCAAAAAAATTATTAGAATTCAAAGGCCCCAAATTAGAATTCAAAGAAAAAAAATAAGCAAACAAAAAAAATATTAGAATTCAAAGAAAAAAATAAGCAAACAAAAAAAATTATTAGAATTCAAAGGCTCCAAGCGCCCCCAAAAGACTGTAAATATTTAGTGTGGTTGTAGATTCAAACCGGAGAGACCTCTTGTTCATTCTCCCAAGCACCTACCACTAGACTATTTCTCCTAAATTATTTAGTTCAATCAAAATAGATATACATAATGAATGAACAGTTAGAATCATGTCCGGATTATAAGCTTCAGCCACAGGAATTAGTGTATGATCCCAGACAGCAATGTAATCAGCATCACCACATTTTCCATGTTCCCAAGGAACATTTATATTATATCCCATTCCTAGATCTTCCCCAATCATACAAGTAGAACCATCGCCTCCACCAGCTGGATAGAAACTTCCAAAATCAAACCTGGAATCGAAACATGCTTATTACCATCTTCTTTATCCTGCTAAACGAAATTAAAAGGGACATATATAATGATATCTCTCACCACATCAAGATTCCATGGACTGCTCACAGGAGCGATTAAACATGATAAATTGTTTCCATAAGTTTTCCATTTTCCATTTTTTCTTCCATATCATGCAAATTACAAACAATTTATACAACTGACCAACAACATTCCAGGTCAACTGTTGCCTTTGAAACTTAAATGAATTCATCTTCATGGCATTAAAAAGAAGTCTTAGCATACGCTATGAGAATTAGAATCAACAAGAAAAGTTAAAAGGAAAAAACATGATAACAAGAAAAGAAAATTTATGTGGACAAAATTAAGAAACAACCACCAAAATCGGTACCTGTGTATGGAGAAGAACAAAACCAGAGGGTCACTATAAAATGCTTTTTGCGTGCCATTGATGTACATCCCAATCTACAATTAAAATCTTTTGGATACCCAACTCTGGCTGTGATATAAAGATAAAAAGAATGACTTCAAAGTCAAGTACATGGGAAGAACTCCAGTCCAGCCTTATCTAAGCTGATGTTTAGCAAAAGATTTTAGCAAAGAAACCATGTCCATACTCTCTGATTTTTAGCAAAGAACTACTAAACGATGCAAAATCCTTTAGCTCTTTTACATAGGACATAATTTGGATGAACTGTAGCTATCCATCCCACTTAGACACACATACACACTTCAACCTTTTACCTTGTTGGCGTAAACAGTGAAAGATTGTACAACAAACAAAGTGCATGAACACATACGTCAAATTAGCCAAAAGACAAAAGAGATCTCATTTAATCTTTTACTGTTTAGAACATCTCCAAGTCTAGGTACATATGGTCAGACTAAAAATTGATCACATCCATGTTATAAAATGATCCTAGCATGGTATAAAAGAAAAAAAAATTGTTCTTCTAATCAGAGGAAGTCAACTATATTATCCGTGGTATAAAATGATCCTAGCATGGTACAAAATATTTACAATCCAAACACTCTTTAAATGTAACACTTTCAGATTCCTTGCTCTCCAGCGACTTAATTAAATTTTCTCTGATTTCGAAACTTCGAATCTTCTCTTGTCGTATAGGCAATTTTTTCCGTTCTTGTGCCTCAGCCAATAACATCAAGAAGAAATTCATAGGTCTATTACATTCTGCACAGAATAATGGTAATAACTTTTGTTGTTGAAGCCCGTACACTTCAACTATCTGTAACCAAGTATTACTCAAACATCAGTGGATAATGAATACCTAAAAACCCAAAAGTATATACATTGAATACCTTGTTCAATTCATCTTGATGATCTTTAGTGTATGCCTTCAATTGTAATGCTTCATTGCTGGAACGGGTGCTGACGGTAAATGATCTTGTTAAGACCACCCTACCTTCTTTCTTGTCGTTTTCTAATGCGTCACTGAGGGTGCTCCTTGATATAGTTGTATCAAAACCGTGTTTTCTAAGAAATTGTACAAGCTTTTTGTTCTGAGAAATACATATGCAAATAGATAATATCTCATTAAAAAAGGAGTTTAAGAACTAAATCTATGAACAGCAAGGAGTTTGTCCAAGACTGCAGTAAGAATGTGTAGGGACCTAATGGGATTGTAAAAGCTTGTTGTTTTGAGAAATACATATGCAGTAAGATTTGGTTGATGTTAGGGACCTAATGGGATTGTGTTCAAAAAACTTGTTGTTTATGAGCATAACCAAAGTGGTGGACTGTTTATAAAAGCTTGGGCATGAGGTGGATAGATGTTTAAAAAGAAGACTGTGTAGGTGACTAAAGCTATATCTAAACAAGGGGATGACGGTGTAACTAATCAAGAAAGTAATACTGTCAACCTAAAAGGAGAGAATAAAGAGAAGAGAGAATGAAGGCCTTACATCAACAATAAATTTTGGGACACCTATATTGGCTGATGGACACGGTGCAGTGAGTGGACAGACAGTTATGTTTCCTGACAGTTTACAAGCTCGAAGTAGTTCTCTTTTTTTAGCTGGCGTCAGCGGAAATGTGTGAGCATAGACCCTCCATCCATCTGTAAAAATAATCATGAGCGACACTAGATTAAAATCATGAGCGACACTAGATTAAACCTTAATAAAAAAAAATATTTTTTTCTAAATGTAAAGTAAGAGGCCCTTAACAAACCTTGCCAAATGTCGGTCTCAGATTTAGGAAGTAAATCAAGCATAGCTCCGACATCTGTAGCAGCATATATTTTCTGGGAACTAGTCAAAGGTCTTTCACCCCAAGACCCTGTCTGTTCAACCTGGATAGGAAATACAGAAGCAAAGCTTAATGAAATAGGCTGAAATATTTCCCTCATATCCAGTCACATAGGCTCTTGCAGTAATATTGCGTTTTTTTATTTCCAATAGTTGGCAGTTTGCATTACCTTTGAGAGGTAGCATCCGAGGAGTCGTTCCACTACAACCTTGAATGATACTTGACGTTTGGACTCAATATGCTGCATGTACATGGTTTGTAGGTCGGTAAAAGGGATAACCTGTGAAAACAAGCCCCAGATATTAGAACAATCATGTAATTGCAAACAAATTATATTTAATACCATATGGTAGGCTTAAACAAATCACTTCACTCCATAGCGGACTTCTAAGGATTTTTGACATTTAAAACACTTTTCTTTTCGCTCAAATTATCACTCATAATTTTTACTAGTATGAAAAGCAATATAAATGCTTTTACAAACTTTTCTCATATCAATTTCATGAAAGTAGAATATTCATGAATCTAAAGGAATAGATAATTTATTTTTGTCAAATAGAACTCTTTAATAAATGCATTTGAACAGTAAATTTAAAATGATACATTTTCAATAATCTCATATACTAAAACAATATTTACCTTATAAAAGATAAATAGCTATCACAATTTAAATTTGTTAACAATTACTAGTAATGAACATAATAACATGTCTAATCCACAATTTCTCTATACAAAAATAAATTATCATTTAAATAATATATAATAGAAAACATCTAATGAGAAGAAATCAACTCAACTCGAGAGATTTGATAACACTTTTGGAGAACCGTACTCCAAGAACCTACTCCTCGATCAAACCTATAATCATACAAAATGCATAAAACCTAAAGATTCCATACTCAAACTATTTTGGGTATAAAACTAATATTTCTAGTTTCTAAGGGTTTTCTAAATTTTATTTGTATCCTTTTTAAATACAACTTGGGCCTAACAACAACTTTTCTAGTTTAATAGGTCAACATGAAAATCTTTCGATTAATTAAATAGGCTTCTATGACAACTTTTTCCTTTGTGTCACCACCATTTGTTCGTCCACGGGAAAAAATCAAAACAATCAATAAGGATGTCTGTACTAGTAATATAGAAAAGAGAACATGTGAATCCATCAACCAAAGTCATAAACATGCCATAATAACAGGAAATTATCCATAGATTATTATAGTGGCAGTATATACTATTCTAACAATAAATAGATGCAAATAAAAATAACGTCCTATCCCTTATAATGAATTGATAGACCGGAATCTGAACAATCTTAGAATAACAAAGAAAATCACCTTTTTTATTATTTCCAAAACCTCCCAATCCGAGAACTTGATTTCATCACCATCGACATCATCCATCGTCAAAGAACAGAGCCATCCTCCCTAATTGCATGCCAAATTCTCATTAATAATCTAGAATATGATTTTGTTCTTTGTGAGATTATAGAGAACAAAGAAAATTTTGGATGATATGATAGAGAGAAATGACCTGAAGCTGCAGGCAGCGGCTGAGACTTAGAGCCCTAGAGTATAATTGTTCCGATTTCCTCATTTCAATCAATACCGTCCATTAGATCCAACGGTATGCGTTATAGGAATTTGAATGTAGGGGTGGAAACGAATCGAATCTGAACGATTAGTGCCTTATTTCGAATTCAAATTCGGCTCAAATAGCACTACTCGTATTCGTGTTCGAATTTGACTCGAGTAATATTCAAAATTCGAATTCGCTTCGTTTAGTTAAATTATCTGTAAAAGGCATAAACAAGTTGTGCAAAATTATCAAGTTTCATGGTTTTGATATCAAGTTGTGCAAAATTATCTGTTAAAGGCATAAACAAGTAATCTTCAGCAATTAGTATAAATTAAAAATCAAGAATAATGGTAACTTTAAGCTTCAACTTACATCTTGATGACTCGAGGGGGACGACGATCTCCGAGAGGGACGACGAGCTTCGAGGGAGGAGTCGACGACGAGATTAAGGGAGGAGTCGACGAATCTCGGAGTCGACGACGAGATTCAAGGGAGGAGTAGACGAATCTCAAAGTCGACGACGAGAATCGAGGGACGACGAGCTTCGAGGGAGGAATGAACGACAAACTTCGAGGGAGATCAGTGAAAACCCTAGCCTTGAATCCACTTGGAGTCGGATTTGAAGGAGGAGGGAGGGGAGAGAGAGGAGAGAGGAGCCGATACTCAGATCTGAAGGAGGAGGCGGATAGGAGCAAAGTGAAAACCCTAGCCCTAGAATCCACTCTTACATATTTATATGGGTGGTGTTTGTAAATAAAAATTTAGATAAGCAATATTTGTAATAAGTTCAATTAATAGGACTAAAATGTAAAAAGTTATCGAATAGTTAATGAAACACTGAATCGAACATACCTTTGGTTAAATTCTATTCATTTATAAGCCTGAACACTGAAAATTATTTGTTCAGTACAAAATGAACTATCGAATCGAACTTGATCAAATATCAGGACGAATAATAACCGAACTGTTTATTAATTATTCAGTTAACTTCACCTCTATTTGAATGACAAACTTGTAAATAAATTTGAACTTCACTTTGATGCCTGTCTTGACTTGTGGGCATGAGTAATGACTCGTCCCTCAACATTGTACGTGGTAGTCCTCTTGTGCACCCCTTTGACTTGTCCCTCAACATTGTGCGCTAATCCATGGACCGTGGTAGACATCTTATCCACCCGTTTTTTAACTAGGCCTTATATCATGAATGTCACTTAAATATTATAAAGTTTTTCTGTTTTGACACTTATAAATCTTAACTTATTTTTTGTGGCGAAAGATAGCATATGTTGCTTAAAATGAGAAGACATTAAAGAATATGTTGCTTCTTCATCGATAATCTTAAGCAGAACACAAAAATGTTAATACTTATATATGATAACAAAAAAATCAACCCTCTATGGACTGTCACGTCATATTTTTTTTCATCTCACAAAATCACTTAATTTCTAAATAATATATTTAATATTGATGCTATGAGTATTTTCCCAAAAAAAATCTATATCATTGCCCATTTGAGATTCAGAACAAAAGCTTTTGTGTAGTGACTTCAAGACAATTTATCCTAGTGTTATGCCTCATGATTTTGCACATGAAACTATACGATGAAGACTGGTGTGGGGAGCATGAAAGGAACAAAAGAGCCAGAAGCAAGTTTAGATCCATCAAGAGACCTTCATATTTTGTAAACATAAGAATCATAAACTTCACTGTGATGTTCTATCCATAAAAGCAGAATAACCATCATATTAATCTCGGGTTTTCTTCAAGTCTTTTAGATGCAGATTTTATGATGTACCTGTCATGGAGTGTTATCAGTTTGTTTGCCTAATGTTATGACACTGCTTAAGATACATACGAAAAATCATCACAAAAATGTTAATAATTATATATCTTGACTTATTTTTTTGCGGCGAAAGATAGCATATGTTGCTTAGAAAGATAGCATATGTTACTTCATTATAGGCTTTACACATTTATTCCTATCTGTATTTCTAGGGGTCTAGCGAAAATTTTCCTTTTCTTCTTCCTCTTATCTCTTCCATTTTGTTGACTGCTTATGAACCCAATTGGGTTTGCTTGGGTTAAGTGATTGGAGTAGCCACCTCCAGCAAGAGCCTAGATCTAGGCTTGGCCTGAGATCGCCGGATGTCACCGGAATCAACGTCGATGGCCGTGAAGGTTTTTTTTCATTCTACAACTATTCATAATTAATTAGTAAAGAAATAAAATTGAATCACTAACCCTTTGAAGCTTAATCCTTCCTCTTCTTCTCTCTGTACTCTCCAGGTCCTTTTCTTTTCTTTTTTTCATTGTTTGTGTGCATGAAGCTATGAGGGATTGATTTACTTAGGGCTTTCAAAGTCCCTTTGCATTCTATAACTCCTATCACATTTATTCCTATTTAACACATTAAATTACCCAATTGAAACATGGATTAGAGCTAGAGTTACAAAACTTTTGATTTTCTTTTTCATTTTTCAAATGATTAAAAAACGATTTTCTACAACCTACTAGCTGAACTAAAGGAAATAGAGACTACTTTTACTATTCCCAAGCTGAAAAGTGTATTTATTTCTCTCTGAATGTCATGAAATATTTCAAACGGCTATGAGTAGGTCTTTGGTATACGTAAATTGTTGTTTCTTTTGACTATTATGAGCCTACAAGGAGAATATTGAGTTCATTGATGTGGTTTTCTATATTTTCAATTGAAATATTATCATGTACAAGATATTTGTACATACAAGAAAATATTTAAATTTGGGTATTCTTTTTTTCCTAGGTTATATACATTCTTAATGGGCAGCTATTAGGGATGTACATCCTTGACATAGCTACTGTCAAGGATGTATATACCATCCTTGACAGACTGTCGTCAAGGATAGACATCCTTGATGGTGCCACCATCAAGAATGTTTACGGTAGCCCCATCAAGAATGTGTAGGCTGTCAAGGATATGTATCCTTGACGATGTGACATATGCCACTGACGTATCCTTGATGATAGCCTGTCAATGATACATTTATTTTATGGGAAAATGGGTGTTGTTGGTGGGATTGCTAGTTTATTATGCTAGTTTTATTTTTATTTGGTTTTTGAATTGCTTCCTTTTTGTGCTCAATTTATCATGCTTAGGATAATCAACTAGAATAATAAATGGTAGAAATTTTTTTTGATATGCTATACTTATCGTAAATAGTTTGATAGTTTATGCTTTTTAAATTCCAAAATAGTTATCTAGTTTTTTTATTTCTATTCATGAATGATGATATTGCTTGAATATAAATTTGATAGGTTATGCTTCTCTTAAATCACTTGATAATTTATGCTTAAGACATCTAGTGACATGAGAATTAAAAGGGAGTACTTCTAAAATCTAAATAGGATTAGCTAGTGGATTCAATTCCAAATTTTAGTTTTATAACTAGATTTTCTTTAACTCTTTTATTTATTTATTTTCTCTTGGATCCATCTTGCTTTAACTTTTTATTTACATCAAATTAACACTCAAACCAATCTCTACCTTCTCTTTTATATTGCAATTCAAGAACCATTTTAGTATCTTTTTTACAACACACCTTCCTCATGTGATCAACAATTGCATGCTGCACACACAAATTGTGCACTTGCAACATTTATATTTAGAACACATCATCACCTAGGCACATCCAGCTGGTTATTGTAGCCGTAGGCTCTCTAACATTACAGGTCATGTGTCAACATCCGAGTTTGTTCCTATTTGTTTAGCAGGAGTGAGATTCAAGGCGACGTGGGGCACGCATTTTGATCTAAAGATGATCTATCCAACACGTTTCATTAATCCGTGGCTTGAGGGTTGGCCTATAATTAGGTGAGGAATGATGAGGGGACTGTTCACTTTCCTCCCCAAAACCCTGCGCATGTTTTTTGAGAGAACCACAAAAAAACCTACCTCTTTCACCCATGATTTTTCATCTTTATTGTCGATCCTCAATGGAGCAAGCATGCTTAAATGATCACAGACTTCTCGAACGAGCCAAGCTATGCCTTCTCTTGGCCAATCAATCACCACCGAGGAGCATATAGTTGCTAATGGTGGAGATGAGCCACACAGATGCCCTTTCTACAAGGGTAAGCCTCTATTTAAATTTTTATATTGTCGTGAAGTGGTCCATGGTAGGGCCAGCACTCAACGCACTTACATTCTTTTGCCTTTTTTCAGCTTGGTCAGAGCTTGTATTGATTTTATTTCTCATGCTGGGTTATGCCATACATAGTTTTTTTTAGGCCGAGTTGTCATCTTTCTATTTACACAGAGTTAGTTATCTATCTATTTCTCTCTACGCTTTGACATCTTAATGAAGACACCCCCACCAAGTTAAGATTCAACACTCTTTTTGCATTGATTAAGACTCTTTCATCTTTTTCAAGTGGCATTCTTTGACAAACCCCACGATCTTGATCGGCAGCTGGGTTCAAAGAAGAGAAGAATAATCACAAGTACTTCTACTTTGGTACTTTGTCAATTTTGGGTACCAATGATCCTGATTTGGAGAGAGTAGTGTTGCATCCTAACACATTATAACTCTGTGCTATGATCAGTGAGAATGCCCTCACAGTTTTTTATCACTCTACCTTCCAAAAACCTATTTATTTGTTCGGGATCAAGCGACATGGATAGGTCCTCACTGGGGTTCCCATTGGTTATACACCATTAGACAAGTATGATTATATCTCTCGTCCTAGAGCGCTATCCTTTGCTATGCTACTTTTGACCCATTAGCATGATTCTATCTCAAATCCTAGAATGCCATCCTTCGCTATACTACTTTCGACCCATCAACTATCCTTGAATGATGTCTTAGGATGTTACACCTCTTTACCCTTCAGCAACTACTAAGGGTAGATTCTTATCAGTAGGTTGCAAGAGTGCTGGTTCGAGCTGCCTCGAGGGTATGAATCTAGGTATTGTCCATGAGTTTCCCTCTAATGAAGATATGTCATGAATGTGCACCTTCAGAAATAGGTTCATTGATGCTAATGCGGAATACCATGGTCAAGCTTACAAGGATGGATCTTCTTCACACCAAACAACTGATGGGTAAAGTTGATGAGCCATGTTTTGACCATTATGAAGGGACTTTACAGCATTTGGGTCTTTATCCAGCTATGTGAGCTACACAACATAGGCTCACTACTAATTATCAAAATTTCTTACAGATAGGAGTAGACGATCCGCACTTGGCACTTATTCACTCCACATTGGGAGCTTGAGATAGCCTTCATGAGATGTGCATAGTTTTCAATCTTTCTTTTGGAGAGCACTCATATGAGGAGTATGTCCTTACCTTATCTTAGTTTCACTATGTAGAGTCTCATCAGGATGGTCGTTATGAAGTATGCCAGGAGCTCATATGCTACTACCAAATATGCCTCCATTCACAAAAGACTCATAAGGATGGTTTTAGCTTGAGGACTTGGTCCACGTACTTGTTTTAGCAATCTCCTGAGGGAGTAGTTGGGGTTGGCGTGAGGGAATACCCCAATCTGAAGTCGAGGCAAATATGAAGCAGAGCCACCATTCTTGACTTCCATTGTTTGGGGATGAATACGAATACTATCACCACAAAGTGCTGTATGGATTGAGCGCTAAGGCTACTTTGGTTGGATTCTCTCAATATGGTTAAAAAGATGTGTTGTACCTCATGAGGTGTC